GTTGTTTTCTGTCGTTAAGCTGTACATTTATTTGGGAAACAGTATTGGGAGTGCTTTACAATAGAAATATTTAGACATTCTCTAATTAGGAATAACTTGTTGACCTCACTGGAATGTCACACAGTCGCCAAGGGGTCCAGACCCCTCTTTGCAACCCACTCCCGTGAACACACCCAGTGTCACGGAGCCGCCGGCCTCAGGTTGGGTTACTGCAGTTATTCTCGGTATGAGGCTCACTGTAGTCCTGCTGACAGTCACAGTATTTATTGTATTTCCGGCAGCAAGTCGCTCCACTGATGCTAAACGTCTCCTCTAGTCATTGTTTTAACAGCTAATGTGTGTGGTTAAACTGTATTGTTGTGACATTTCTGCATCTGTTTATGTCCTCTACAGTGGTGGAAGACGTTAATACTTCTCGTACGTACTATCTGCTGCATGCAGCCTTTTGTCTTTAAATATGTGAATTCACCAGGGTGAAATGTATTATTGAGCCACTTGAGCTCCTACTTTACTTTTGCATGTTGTTTTTGTGATTTATGCTAGGAAGACAATAACATGAGCACTTGTGCAACGTGTTGTGATGTTGTGAATATAACCACCGTTGAACCAACACGTCTCTAACACAACATTTTATGATTTAGAAATCTGTTTGCATCATATTGTTAGTACCCACACCCCTGTATTGCACACTCACTTCAGGCAGCATGCTGGGCCAGGCTGTCTTTATGCAGATAGAGCTGTATTGATCCCTCGCTGTGGCGTAATGCTGTTTGTTCAGTTATTCGGATTAACTTCCTCCTAAGTATTTCAGTCTGTTCAGCATTCTGCTCTAACACCATTACCATGACACGGCTTAATGCTGGGGAGAAGGTGACTGAGGCATCGTTTAATTTCGAAAACACTTTCAATTAGTTTTTAAAGGTTTGAAATGAAAGAACATAGTTGAATAGGCACTTGCCTCGCAGCTACAGTGCAGTGGAAAGTGTGCCTAACTAGATTTTTGCCGTAGACTATAATCTAATTTGCCTCTCTTCCATTGCTCTTGCATGCCTGCTCTTGTTCATAAGCAGATCATAGCCGAAGTGATGACATGCATGAATCACTCAGTAGGAAAGGCTGACTGTGTGTCCCCCCCCCCTGGATGTAGGCTGCTTGTTTCAGCTGAATTATTAATATAAAGAGAGCATATCACAATGTATTGATTTCAATTTGAGCCTACTTTAAAAGTTGTATCTACGGTAGTTTAGATGACTGGATGTGTTTTTCAGTCAATCCCCAAACAGCTTATTTAATGTTTGTTGGTTAACAGGTCATGCTCACTGTTTGCTGTTAAATTAGTAGAGAAAGATGGTGCAGAGCAGTGGAGGTCCTCGCTGTGGTGGGTTTGTGTTTGCAGCCTTTGGCGGTGGCAACTAATATACTTTTGATGTGTGTCTCTGATGTGTTATGAGTCAATGTGTGTGCCAGTTTCAGATCTGCTGTGCTGGTAGACTCGAGCATTCCTCTGAACCGCCTCACTTCCGCGCTGTGATGTTGGCTTTATCTGAAACCCTAAGCATGCACAGTATTAGAAGAGAGAAAGTATCTGTTTTGTTTTTTTATTCTTCTTCTCGCAGGCATTCCATTCAAATGCCTCCAACAGGATGCTTTCATTTGTCACTCCCTGTAATACGCAGCGTCTTGAGAGTAAATGTGGCACAAAAGTAAAGTGGACCTTGAATAGAAAATCTCAACATAATGCTATGAATAACCCACTCGGAAAGAAAAGGCTGTCACTGTGTGACCCTACCCCCACACCTTTCACACATGCACAGAAAACCCCTCCAGGCTCAGATCTACAGCAGAGAAAGCAGACTGTTGGAGGTTTTCCTCCACTCTCCTGCTGTAATATTTAAAACTTATGATTTTACCAAAAAATAAAAACATGGTGATGATCTTTTTATTGTATGTGAAAGCAGGCGGGCATGAGATCCTCGTGTGGCCGCCTACGTGACGGTGGACACACATAGCAGGGTGTCGCCACAGATGGTGGATCAGCATGCTACAAATTCTGATTTTGCAAGAAACTGTTGCCGTGCTGCCCCCGCACCAAACCCCCATCCACATGGTGTTAAACTGTCAAATACTCCAAACCTGTCTTACTTTTAACCCTTCATTTGTGGATATGTTTATTCATATTAAGAATATGGAAAGGTTGTATGAAAGTATTTCACTTTGGCAACAAGGAGCAATTTTATATTGTGATGTATTTCATCGTGATAGATTATTTTTGTTATCATTATAACATTGCAAATATACACTTACATGTTATATACATTACATAAGGCCCATTTATTTTGATTCTTATAGTTTAGAAAACAAATGGGTGGTTATTTTAAGTATTTATCCACATTACAAATGCATTATTGAAGCATTTTGACACTAGCCTAGCATGTGTAAACCAGTTTATAATCTTCAACAGGTCATTTGTTCTGACATTTCAGTCCGAGGATCTCCACTTCATGTAACTGATCTGTGGGGGGTTCTTCCTAATGAAGCTCCGTGGGCTTCAGTAACTCTGTTGTAGGGACAGGGGAATACAAGTTGTCATGGCAACTCGAGTTGTAATGGAAGTTTTATTCAGTGGTGTTGAAACACTGCGAGGACTGATTTATATCCCAGTGTCACTTCCTTTAGTTTGGTGTCTCTCTTAAAAGGCGACAGGCGGAAGCTTCTCTACTGTACAGTGAAGACTACATTGAAACCAAAACAGGAGGGAAAAAAACCCCACAGAAATCAAAACGATGTACATTTAAAATAACATAAATTCAAAAGACAGAACATTCAATCTACATTTTTCATGGACATTTTTGAGTAGCATGTATGATCATTTGTGATATTAGCAAAGTTGAGCAGCCCTTCTTTTGATAGTATAATGAACTTTACACCCTGTGGCCAATTTACCAAGTACACCTCACTGTGTTTATGGCCCTGCAATAAATCCAACATGACTTATTATTAACTTCATGACCATTATGCAGGGTGTAGTTTTTCTGCTGGTGTTTTCCAAGATTTCCTCCACCCCATTTACACCAATGAGGATCGACTCTATAAAGTGCTGATGAGTGTACATGTGTATGTGGGTGACAAATGGACATGCTCCACATACAGCGTCCATTGATTACCTCAGTGGCCTGCTTCATATCCAGATTCTGCACATGTCTGTATCTCACACAGTTTACAGCAGGTCCACACATGTTGGCCCACATGTATTGACCCTTTCATGTGGCGGAGAGTCTATTAAAACCAAACAAATGTGCTTGGCATGTTGTCTTATGCTGTTAACAAACTGAAGATGCAAGAGCACGGATTCAAATGTGTCTCTGCCACTTCTTCCTCCTTTTTTAAAAGCACTCTTGCAGCCTTATGAAACTGTTCTTGTACACAAAACTTTCAAATCCTACTGTTCAAGTCTCTGGAAATGACAAATGAAAACAAGGAAATCAATCTTTGGAACAGTGGGAAGTTTGTGCGTGGTTCAGAGGGAAATACACCGAGCAGCGTTTGTGTTATTGCCTCTGATCCTGTGGGAGTAAAGCCATATCAGAGCAGTTGTGCCGGTAAGCATGCTGAGAGCAGTTGTTTGATTATAAGGATATTGAATTTCTACACCCTTAACCTGCCGTTCCCTCTCACTTTCCTTATTTAAATGACTTCTTTCAAGTTTTTGTTAAGAAAAAGAGTCATCATGTGACTAGTTGATGCCTCCGGGCTAATGGAAACAAAACACTGACCACCCTCAGAACACTGGTTAACTGGGCAATAGTTGTTCCTTTGCATGTCATTGAAGGGACACGCTCACTCTCACAGTGCCACTTCAGTATGATCTCATCATGTGGGTCTTTTCCCACAAGAGGTGAATGATGGTATTCTTATAAACGGAGAAACCACAAACCTAAAGGGAATAATGATAATGAATGGAACAGTAGTGATTTTGGTGCGTCATTTGCAACAGTCTTTCCAATTTAAATAAAGATTCTGGAAAAGAGTTATACACGGTATTTTCCTCACTGCTATTAAAATGGAGAGCTACAAATCAACATATTAGCATTCTGACGTTAGCATTTAGCTCACAGTGCAGCCTCACAGAGTCGCTAATATGGCTTTAAACCCATGTTTTAATTCATAACTTATATATTGTTATATTTACTTTTCTCAATTACTATTTTAAAAAGTATTCAATAGAGTCTTCTCTTTTCAATATGAAAAGGGCCCTGCTGAGATTGACACATATAAATGACATTATGTCCATCTTTTTGTATGCTCTACATCAGGAACATTCTCTAAATAAATAAAATAGTGATGTAAATAAATACCCTTTCAGAATTGGTACCAAAACTCGTACTGCTACTGAAAAAATCCAAATGATATCCATTTAATTGTCTTTTTCGGTAACAAGATAATGATTAATTAGTTAACTGATGGCTCCATGGTTCTTATGATATCTTGTGGCTGTGAATGTTGTAATTCCATTGAGAAACATACCATCATTTCCTGTTTCCTCAAATACTAAAGTGCTGCTCCACAGCACTGTAAGCCCGTTCACCTCATGTGCTCATTCAAGGAATGATTTGGCCTTATGTTGTGGCCCCCAGCTGTAATCATGATGCATAGCTGACTCCCATGATGCCCTGCCACAGATGTCACCCAAAAATTCCCCCTGTGACATGTCAGCTGTGCTGAAGGAACACTGTTACACCGTCTTTCTTTTTTATTCTAGCATCCAGTCCTTTCCTGCTTTTACTTTTGTTTCTTTTGCCCTTCTCACAGTGTCGTGTTCGATCACATTTGTGTCACCAACCGTTTCCCCCACAGCGTTCTTGTGAGTTTGAAGTTTCAGGGTTTGAAGTCTGATCACATTCATGCAACACTGCCTCCATTCCCCTGCTTTTGTGTGGCTAAGAGAGAAGTGTCCTGGTGCTAATGGTGTCTCTGAGCCTGTCCTCTCAACCAGGGCTTTTTCAGATAACCTCTGATTGCCTTCTTTCACAAAATGTGACCCGATAAAGTCAATTGTGTGGTAGAGGTCTTACAGGGAGCCTTTCAGAAAACCTGAAGTGAATCAGAGGAAGTGTTACACAATAGGAAGTGGTGGGTTTTTTCTTGTGCGTCTTTTTGTTCCACGTTCTATGATAACTCTGCAAATAGCCCATGTTTCAGACGGGAGGTAGAACATAATCAACCTGTTATTACATGCTTAACATGATACCTGCAGCTCTACTGCTAACTACCCCTTTCTGTGTGATATTACTGTCTTATCATCTATTTCAATGTGGTTTCATTTTTTTTGAATCATTGTTTTTAAAAGGTTCTCCATATATGGCATTCAGAGCATTGGTGTGTGTGTGTGTGTGTGTGTGTGTGTGTGTGTGTGTGTGTGTGTGTGTGTGTGTGTGTGTGTGTGTGTGTGTGTGTGTGTGTGTGTGTGTGTGTGTGTGTGTGTGTAAAATTCCTATGCTTTAAACCCTAGACTGTTTTACATTTCTTAAGCATTAGGATTTACATTTTGTATCCTTTGACACGTGTTTCAGAGGCTGNATGGCATTCAGAGCGTGTGTGTGTGTGTGTGTGTGTGTGTGTGTGTAAAATTCCTATGCTTTAAACCCTAGACTGTTTTACATTTCTTAAGCATTAGGATTTACATTTTGTATCCTTTGACACGTGTTTCAGAGGCTGACCTCTGGTGCTGGACTGTGACCCTGGGGCCACCTGCCAGGCCGGGCTCCTGACTGACAGTCTCACAGCTCCACTGCTGGTGAGTCCTCCAACCACGTCGCACTTGTTAAGATTGATGCTTGTTTTCAAAGGATTTATTAACTTTTTTCTGAAGTCACAATGTAAAGAAATGGTGGGAAATATCCCACATCTGAACATCTCTGATTTACTGTACTATAGGACAAATAGAAGTAGTATATCCTCACAGCTCAGATGCTACTACTAGCTAATTATTAAAGGGTCATTAAATCCATAAGTTAAAATGGATGCGGACTTAGTGTTTTTGCTCATCAGCTAATTGACTAATTGTTTGAAATCTAGATGTCTCAAAGCAAGACTGACATCTTTATTTGTATGATAGTATAAGATACGGAGACATTTCCAAAGCAACAAATAACATATAAAATGTCAACATGGACAAGTTAGCAGTGGTGTAAAGTAAATAAGTACATTTACTCAAGTACTATACTTAAGTATATCTTTGTGATACTTTTACTTTACTTGAGTATTTCCATTTTCTGCTACTTTTGATTTCTACTCCACTACATTTCAGAGGGAAATATTGTACTTTTACTGCACTACATCTTCTAGTTACTTTTGTGTGTTTATACGTTATATATTTACTATTTATTTTCTCAGTACTTTCCAAAATCTGCTCCATATTGACAAATTACTACATCCAAAAAACTCTTACGTATTTTCTAATGAGAAAAACAAAATTATTCAATATTTTATAATAGGGCTGCTCAATTAATCGTATTCTAATCGCGATTACGATTATGGCTTGCAACGATTACGAAAAACAACGTAATCAAAATAAAACAATTATTTTTTTATTATTTGGGTTTTTCAGTTGAGTTATACTTAAAGTTCAGGGTAATCAACTGTTAAAAAAATACTGTTCAAATTTTTTTTTCTCCAATAAATGGATGTTTTCAAAGTCAATGAATATTCGCATTTAATAATCGCAATTACAATTATTGACCCAAATAATCGAGACTATGATTTTTGCCATAATCGAGCAGCCCTATTTTATAACGATACTACACTTTTGTAGTACTTTTAATTTTGATACATGATTTTTCTCTAGTGGAGCATTTTTAGGCTGGGATATTAGTACTTTTACTTAAGTAAGGGATCGGAGTAATTTTTCCACCACTGCAATGCTAATATTGTGTTATTGTGTAGGAATATTTCCATATGTTCCGCCTTCACTTTCTGCTCCAGATTGCCATCTTTATATTTGCTGTTATTTGTTTACATGTCCATTATCTATTCAAGAACAGAACCCGTATCTGATTCTTATTTGAATAGACGGTAATGGTTGGAAGAACAGACTACTACTCTACAGCAAGCCTGTTTGTGCACCTGCATTTCTGCCGTTATGAGTCAGTTACGGAAATATCCAAATACTTTTTTTTTGGTGATTTAGTCAGATATGAGACTGACTTGGAAAATAGATACACTTCAATTTGGTTTGAGTGGAAACATATCAGCAGGACACGGGTGGCTAGAGTTTAAATGTAAAATAACAATGCTTGTAATTTAATTTTCAATCATCACCTTATCAAAAGTTTAAACTTGATACATAGTGATGTATTACTAGCTGTATTACAAAGTAGACAGTCGTTATGTAAGAGCACCTGTAGTTTACCTATTCTAAGTCTTAATGCGTTGTGCCGTGGGTGTATGTGTAATGCATGCTCAGGAAATGAAGTGCATTGTGGGCCATAAAAAGGAGTTGAGTAATGTCGGTGCTCCCAGCTTCCTGCCCTGCAAGGCTGAGTGTTTATGTAATTACAGGGGAAGGGTCACTGCTCACACGACTCACTCTAACATGAGGCTTACTGCACAATGCCTTTGTTTTATTTATTTTTATCAGGTATTTTCTTTCCTCCTCTCCATTTTTTTGTTTGTTTTTCTTCACCTCATAATTTTTCTCGCTGCTTGCACGTCTGCCCATCCCCGTTGTATTTTTCCTCCGCGTCTCCTTGGAGATTGTTACCATGCCACACAATCATCACTCGATTGGCTAAGCTCCGGTGCTGGAATGATGTGGAGTTTTTGACAGCTAAGCCTCAGGTGGTTGGTTCATATATAGGATCACTAAATCAGTGTGTCCCCTTGAAAGGTGTTTGTGTCGAGGCTAATGTAGAGCTGCAGTAGTGGCCTAGTAAGATGTAAGCCATTCACTTAAATAGCCTGAATGGCCAGCTATTTTGGTTAGCATGCAGCACACAACCCCGTGGCAGTACAGGGGAGCAGGAGACGTGTTGCATTATGAATGGAGAATGGGGCTGAGTTGATGCAGCAGGCCAGGTTTTGTGTGAATACATACAGGGTGGATTAGCCTCGCTAAGCCAGGGGGAGGTGTGCTAAAGTAGCCTGAGGTGAAGCTTTTCTTGGCTCACTAGTGCTTTGATCATAATTGGGTCAATACTGCCCCCAGATGGTGAAGCCTAGTACTGTTATACTTGTGTAGATGGTGGCTAATGCAAGGGAAATATAGACTTTTCTAAGGATAATGTCTTTATAACAAGGGATTTCCCATTTTACCATAGCAAAGGATGTATTTTTAGCCTATTGAATCAATTTAGAAGGCGTGCTTATATATCAGTTGCTGCAATCTTGACTCAGCATATAGAACACGCTCCGGCCCCTCTCGACCTCACCCGCTAACCAGGTAATTTGAGATGATATGTCTGAAAGGGTGTAATATGTAGAGTGTCTTGTTATATCAGCTAAAAGCTCCCAGCTTCTCCTCACCCATCTATTATTAATGCCACTGAAGGGCTCACACTGAATCACTTCCTGCCTGGGTTCCCTTAAGGAGTGCGCCGGGCTGCAGTCATTTTTCTGCAGACGTACGCGTTGGAAAGTCTTAACGTTTACATTAAGTCTGCAGAAAATGACATTTTAATTGTATGTTTTTCACCCTGAAATAGTTGCATGTGAACACTAGATGGTGCTCTCACATCAGACACCAGTGCTGCTTCTAGTCCACAATAACATGCCGTCCTGAGTTAGAAATACATTTTCTTTGCAAAGATTTACTCTAAAATTCTGTACTAGGTTATGGTTCTCCACAAAGAAATGTCACTAACTACGGTCACTTGTCGTGGGCATTTTGACCTTTTAGCAGAAGCATTGACGATGCTGGCCTATGATGGCAACAATGCTTGGGAGTGGTCTTCCCCTCCGTTCACTCTGTGTGCATACCATATACAGTCTATGGTGCATACATGTTTGTGTCCTCCAGATGGCACTCCTCCCTCACTGGATGAACATGTTGGTCCTCTTCGATCTGACACTCATCATCCATCCAAAAAAAAACTCAAATGTGCCCCACCCAAAATCCTGTTAGGGTAATATTCTGCAGTAAACAAAATAAGTGATGCTCCGGTGTATTTCTTCAAATTAAATTAGGCTTACATTTTGGCTCAACTACTAATGTGAGACCTTATTCTCACCGAATGCTCCTTCTTAATTCTCATTTTGTGTGTTGACATAGTGACATCGGTGAGTCAGTCAGAAGGTCAGTGGTGTAATGATGGTTTGGGGGCTGTTTTAGCAGAAGAATGGGTTTAGGAGGCAGCCGCCCCAGGGGAAGTGCTTGCTTTGACTGACTACTTTGAGTCAATATGCCCTCCTTTTAATGATTTCCTTAACTAGGAAGGAATCTGAGGACTTTCAAGGGCAGGGTGGGGTGGTCTCCCTTCTGAGGCAGATGTTCAGCGGATGGAGCGGAAAGTCAAAGTGGCAGATTTGGGGAAGAGTTCATACAAACAGCATGGACTGGTTTTACATCTCTTTAGGACTCTTTAGAAAATATCTCTAGCCTTTTTTGGCAACATCTTCACTTGATCATTAAAGACCCCTGTGGTGTTGGTTTTAAAGCCCTACTTGCTTTTCCCCCAGTTAAATTCATCGATCTGTAATTAGCATCAGTCGGGGCTGTCAGCATCTGTCTGTGTTATTGATGGTATAAAGTGTTGTATAGCTGTGACTGAAGAGCGCCGCTCAAAGCCTCTTCATAGAGCTCCGTTTCAATGGAGACGGCGTTTTAGCTGACTCTTGTGTATGTGCCTGTTGCCATGGTTTCCAACTTTCATCAGGTGCCGTCCAAAGAGAAGGGGGGCTAAGCCGGGGATGAGGCGCTGCCACTTTCATCCTCCTCTTGATGTGCTTCTCCGGACAAACTGCCGGTTGCCTGCGCTCATTTCCATTTGTGCTGATCGGGTTCATTGCGGCCGCGGT